CCCCAAAACCCCAAAACCCCAAAACCCCAAAACCCCAAAACCCCATTACTAGATGAAGGGATTGAAATTTTTGTAGTTTGAGAATAATTGTTAAATAATTATTGAATGGGCAAAAAGAAATTTTGTAGATCAAAGATAATAATTTGAAATAAATTAGCGACTAGTATAATTATGATAAGTAGATCAGAGCTTTATGGTAAAGGCCTTGAAAAATGAAGAAGAAAATTTGATAGGTTAGTCAAAATTAAGAAGTAAATTCAGCTCTTCAGATTGATGACAATGGAGTCAGAAAAATAAGTCTAAAAGGACCTAATAACTGGATTCAGTGAAAATTTGGAGAAATTTCAAATTATAAAGAGATTGAGCTCCCAAAAGAAGGAGAAGAGTTTGAGTTTTCTTGAGCATACTAGTAAACGTTGAAGATGAAATTATATCACTAAAGGTGCTTAATATAGCAAAAACCATGACATTTTAAGAATAGCAGATTATTCTCTCCATAAAAGAAAGCAGCTGTGAGAAGGAACTCTTAAAAATCTAAAAGAAGCAAACGGAAGGACTAATTATCAAGGCTTCTATGAGCCACGAAAAGCACCTTTCGAAATATCAAATGACTCCTAATAAACCAACAACTGATGAAAAAGTGTGTCAGAGTGAGATATACCTTTTTGATTCATCTTTATCAGCACTGCCAAAAAATGAAATCCTCCAATAACAACCTTCAATCCAATAAAGGTTCATCGGTGAATACAAACGCACTTGAAATTTTAATATATTTGAAGAGATAAGAAGGTGAGCATCTTGGCCAATTGCAAGAAGTAATGGAAGACTCAAAAGTAAATCTCCTGATGGAAAGAAAACTTACAAATTAAACAAATCAATCTGGAGTGAAACCCTCAAGGTTCGAGAGTATTAAATTAGTGAAATATCAAGAGAAGACGTCAAATGTATTGAGCGTAGATATAAAAGCAGATTGGGAGAGGACTAGTTCGTAATCCAGAAAGTGCAGTCTGTGTTCAAGAATCTAGAAGTATGTATGATTTATTCTAATCTATGCATTTGAAATTTATCTCAATTTTCAAGAAAATTGCTCACACCACTCATATCTTTCTTTCAATTAAGAACATTTTAATAGGGGTTTTGGGGTTTTGGGGTTTTGGGG